ATAGGTCGATACAATTTATTAAACGATTTTTCTTTGGCAAGAATTGCTATCTAAATATTTATATAAACAATAACGGCGTCAATAATCCTTCAATAATCCCCGAAAATGCGCGCTTTAATTTTATCAAATTCAGTATTATATTTTTATTGGATCATTGCCTCTGCAAAAAAAAAAAAAACGTAGACGATTGTTTTCGTTTTTAAATCAAATAAGTACAGGTATACGTCCAACAAATTAGGGATTTTGAAATTTCGATTAAACGATAGAATTCTAGATGGATGTCGAAAAGAGCACTGAACCGAGTCCTTACATAATATCGTCTGGAAACTCAACTTAGAACATTACAGTTAAAGTTGCCACCTTTTCAGGCTTTACATAAAGTATTTCTCCACTAAATAATTAAAAAAAAAAAAGTACTCATCATGAAAATAAAGTATTTTATTTTTTGTTACACGTAGCAGCCAGTAACAAATTGCTGTCGCCCTTAAATACATTAATAGCCTCTAAACATGGCAAACAAAGATTTAAGTAAACTAAAAGTTCATTTTTAATTAGTTTTAATGAAAATTTATTCCTGTCGTCCCGCCACTTTGCGTTCATAACAGAGAATACTCTTTCTGATGTAAATGTTGAAGTGGCCGGAACGGACAGCAAAAGTGACATTACTTTGAACAGATTTGGGAAATCAGGTTGTTCCGTAAATATGACTTGCCATTTTTCTGTGCAATATTATTGATATAAAAATACTCTAAATTTCGAATAATCGCTTACAAAATTACGATGTTTACTTAAGGCCTTAAATAAAGTATTTTTGCGTACTTTATGTGTCTTGTAAAGTATAACGTACGCACAGTCGAAATACGGGTGACAACCCTAATTACAGTATGCATAAATGATTTTGTCTGAAAATCTAGCCTAACTTGTACTAAAACTAACACGTTTTTATCTGAAAACACATCTCATTTGATACTCAAATAGCATGCGCATAACAGCAAACCATGACCTATTATTTATAATTTACACAACTTGTGTAAAAATAAGAATTATAATAAGTTGTTAATTTCCATTTGTTCAGCTATTTTAGTCGTTTAATATCAATAAGTCTATTCAGCTTATCATTAAAGTATACTGAATATCGTAACTGATAGGCTAAATAATTAATATATATTTCTCTATATTTTATTTGCTCCTAAATGACATACATTTTTCTGGTTGCTTTTTCATGTACATATTTCAACAATTTTAAAATTCATAAAAGAGTTGGTGTTTATTATAAGATTTTACGCAAACTACACCGATAACAGCTTATTAAATAACAACTTGTAAATATTGAACTTGTAGATGAAAGCTGTAAATAATAAATTCTGCAGTAAAATAAATTATAATTTTCATTGTTTTCCTGTATCACCTACAAGGTTGTCATTTAAGTAAACCGTGATATCTTGAATAAAGTCCTGGTTAGAAATAACATTTATTCAATGTAAAACTTCGCAGCTCGTATCTGAAAACAAATAATTTATTTGGTTATTATACTAAAATCGCAGTTTCGTTCTAATTTTATNAGTGGGCGCGGCGGAAAAGAAAAGGTTACAAGCGTTCGAAATGTGGTGTTAGAGGCGAATGATGAGGATATCGTGGATAGAGAAGGTTAGAAATGAAGAGGTATTAGAAAAAATAGGAGAACAGAGGACTATGAAAGTCAATATGGGAGTCGGAGTTAGGAGGAGGTAGAGGTAGACCTAGATTAAATTACTGTTCGCAAATAGAAAGGATGTGGGATGTTCCAGTTTTAGGGAGATGCGAGGATTAGTTCAGGATAGGAAGGATTGGAGGCGCGTGTCCAACCAGTCTTAGGACTGACGACCTTATGATGATGATGAAGCAAATCTGTATGTTATAGTAGTTTTTTGTCACTTTTCATTAAGTTAATACGCCCATTTCGATAGTTTTGTGTTAAAAAAAAAACAAATTTATAAAAAAAATTAAAACAATAACAATATTTATTGTGGTAACTATACGTTTTGTTCTAACATATAAAGTATACACATACAAATGGTATTTACTTTTACTGAAAAGTTTAATAATCAATAACGAAAAAAAGTAATCCTTAGACAAACTCACTGATAGGTCGATACAATTTATTAAACGATTTTTCTTTGGCAAGAATTGCTATCTAAATATTTATATAAACAATAACGGCGTCAATAATCCTTCAATAATCCCCGAAAATGCGCGCTTTAATTTTATCAAATTCAGTATTATATTTTTATTGGATCATTGCCTCTGCAAAAAAAAAAACGGTAGACGATTGTTTTCGTTTTTAAATCAAATAAGTACAGGTATACGTCCAACAAATTAGGGATTTTGAAATTTCGATTAAACGATAGAATTCTAGATGGATGTCGAAAAGAGCACTGAACCGAGTCCTTACATAATATCGTCTGGAAACTCAACTTAGAACATTACAGTTAAAGTTGCCACCTTTTCAGGCTTTACATAAAGTATTTCTCCACTAAATAATTAAAAAAAAAAAAGTACTCATCATGAAAATAAAGTATTTTATTTTTTGTTACACGTAGCAGCCAGTAACAAATTGCTGTCGCCCTTAAATACATTAATAGCCTCTAAACATGGCAAACAAAGATTTAAGTAAACTAAAAGTTCATTTTTAATTAGTTTTAATGAAGCTTTATTCCTGTCGTCCCGCCACTTTGCGTTCATAACAGAGAATACTCTTTCTGATGTAAATGTTGAAGTGGCCGGAACGGACAGCAAAAGTGACATTACTTTGAACAGATTTGGGAAATCAGGTTGTTCCGTAAATATGACTTGCCATTTTTCTGTGCAATATTATTGATGTAAAAATACTCTGAATTTCGAATAATCGCTTACAAAATTACGATGTTTACTTAAGGCCTTAAATAAAGTATTTTTGCGTACTTTATGTGTC